CGGTTAACCGGTGCTATTTGTATTTTTGGGCAACGGTTTTTAATAATCGGTGCTCATTCTTTGGTGTGCATTTATGTTTTTCTACTAGAGCTTGTTTTATTCAAATGAAAAAATAGATGTATTAAGTTCAAAAACAATATAGTTCGTCCCATTCTGCATGATCTGATTTTTACCCATGCACAATACTAGGTTGATAATCCGTGCACAACATACATTGTCTATTTTATATAAAGTATTATATTTCTAAATAATTGTATTGTCTATTCGGTTGAACTTATGACTATGTATAATGACATTAAGTCCAAATTGTTGGGTTTCGTAGTGTCTGACACTACGCGGAAGAGAAACCCGCCTAAGACCCGCCCACTAATTAAAGCAACTAAACATGCAATCACATAATTAACAACATAAGAGAGAGAAGGAGAAAATACATTCTTACACTCGACGCGTGCTTCGCTCGTTTCACGAGCTCTTACTTGAAAGCTTAACCTCGCAAGTGCGAAGGAATCCTACGGCTCGCACCCTCGAGCCGACCCGAGCGATCTTAATCCTGTAGGTTAGTCGAGACTTGATTAAAATAAAACTAGAGTATTACGAACTTAAAGGTTTTCTCACTAATGATGAGATGTCTTATTGAGTTCAACTCAAGTGATTTTTTCCAAACCCAAAACTTGCGTATTTATAGGGAAAGGAGACGTGATCTCCCTTCTCCCATCAATGTGGGAGATTTGCATTTTTCCTCAATTTTATTTTAATAAAAAAACAAAATATAATGCAAAGCAATCAACAAGCTCCAAGTGTCACATAGAGGGCGAAGGTTGCTGAGGACCACCACAGGGAGGGACCAAAACACCTTTCTCCCCAAGCCAAAAACCAAGCAAATGGTCCCCTCCCTTGACTAGGTTGACCACGCCACTTGTATAAGCTGGCGCCTAGCACCATGGCTGGGCAGCCCAGCCAGCCAGCACACAGCCAGCGATGCTACGATGCTGCTGCTTGGTGCGTGATGCTGCTAGGTGCTGCTACGCTAGCACGCACAACCCAGCCAGCTTGCACCCGCATGCGTGCAACAAGCACGTATAGCTACAGCTCATGCATGCTAGGCATGCTGCCTGCGATGCTTGCGGTAGCAAGGCCCTGCAAGCACTTGCGTGCTGCTGGGCTTGCGATGCTTGCGGCAGGGCTGCTATGTGCGAGGCACTAGCATGCTAGCACGCCTAGTGCGCCAGCGATGTTGGCCATGCCACACCAGCTGACTAGCCAGCGCTGCTAGCAAGCTTGGCATGGTGCGTGGTCTAGGCTAGCCTAGCACTCGCATGGCTAGGCTAATGAGAGGCTACGGCTTAGCTCGAACTTGTCGCTTGTTTGATTTCTCGTCTCGTCAAATTCTAAACTTGACTCGACTCGCGACGCTCGATTTCGACGCTCTAAGCTCGACATCCGACGTCTTTGTTCGTAATACTCTAATGGCTCATCTAATCCTTCGGATTGATTTTCCATCTCGGATCGGTTATTCGATTGGGGTGCTACCCGAAGGGTTCAATCAAGATTAAGCCGTAATATTAATTATGCATTAATATTTCTGATTGGAAGCGGCTTCCACCTAGGCATTCCGATCACTTGACCTCACTGAAGAATTAGCTTTCTAATAATTCCGAACCCTCTATCGGAATAATCACTTGTTGGAAGGACACCATTCCTTTCAATCTCCCACTTGTCCTTCCGGACAAGTGTGCAATTATTGTATAGCCCATTTCCTATGTCGCTTAATGTCTCTTCATGAACTATAAGGTAAGATTCTTCGTCATCCTTTTTACGTCCAGAAGTGTTTCTCGATTTTCGAGTTCAACTGTCAATAAGCAGATGATTTCTAAAATCGATCTGAGCACGACCATGCATTTTCACAGTCTCGCTCTTCGAGAGGCCTTGTAAACAACAAAGACATATTTCTTATTTTTAACAGGGGGACATTCCCAGTCTTGCATTGTTAGCTTCCCTTATTAAGAGGACCTAGTCGCCCGAGTGTTATTGCCTTTATAATCCCCATTTACGGCAGACGTTTGACAACATCAAAACAACTAGTACTCAAACAAGAGAACTTACAATACTCATGGTTGAGGAAAAATGTTCCGATAGCAATAATGAGAAATATACTTATGACGATTTTGTATCTCTTAAAGTATTCTCATAGGTCAATCCAGTATAGTTCTAAACCGATACCTATGCAAATGATTTATGACAATCATGTCCTCGTAGAACAAGAAATGTTGCTATAAATCATACTACACACTAATCTCAAGTGGTCATTAATCGTCCATCGTTTAAATGACCTTGATTAAGGATTTTCGATTGAAATATTCAATGTTCACTTAACAGGTGTTCCTTTATCCAAGACATGGTCTTGATACCCTGTTTTTGAATATCCTCAAAAATCGAATGGACTCATTATTTAATTCTAAACCATAATTAAATAGAAATGGAGTAATAATAAATTTGCAGAAAATTTAATTGCTCCAAAACCGAATGGTTCAACAAAGTGTTTTACATTAAGACATCAAGTTTAATTAAAACACATATACAGGGAAATCAACGCCAATCTCCAACATGCTTGATACCCATTGCCTCAACGTGCTTGTTGTGCTTCACTTGAGGCAAAGGTTTAGTCAATGGATCGACTACATTGTCGTCCCTTCCAATCTTACAAATTCTGATTTCACCCTCGACCTTCCATTCCCTTATCATGTGAAATCGCCGCTTGACATGTTTGATCTTCTGATGTTCCCTTGGCTCCCTGGCCTAAGCAATAGCTCCATTGTTATCACAATAGAGGTCTATTGGACCCTTGATGGAGGGTACAACATCAAGTTCACTAATGAACTTACGAATCCAAACTACCTCCTTAATATTATAAACTTGTTTGTCTAGAGAAAGCACATAAAGAGCATTTTCTGAATATGCCTACCATATAAAACATTATCGAAATAAAACGAACAACTATTGTCTTTTATTCGAAATTCAAATCCCTTGGCGTCCAACGCCGAAATTTAAATAATGTTTTTGGTAACTCTTGGAACATGATAACAATTGTCAAGTTCTAAAACAAGCCTAGAGGGCAAAGATAAACCGAGGGTTTCGACGAATACGACAGACAACCTTGCTCCATTGCCGACCCGAAGCTTGACCTCTCCTTTCTCTAGCCTCTTATTTGTCCTTAGTCCCTGAGCATTGGAACAAAGGTGTGAGCCACATCCGGTATCTAATACCCATGATGTTTTGCTTGCGAAGTTTAAGTCTATAACAAAAATACCTGATATAGAAGCAACGCTGCCGTTCTTCTTATCTTCCTTGAATTTGAGGCAATCTCGCTTCCAATGTCCTTTCTTCTTTCAGTAGAAACATTTGAAGTCGGATTTATAAGAGGCTACCTTCTTGTCCTTGCCACTCTTAGCAACACTTGACTTAGGCGGAAAATTCTTGTTCTATTTCCCTTTAAAGCTTCTCTTCTTGCCCGAGCGCTTAAATGGCTTGCCCTTTCTCACCATGAGTATGTCATGCTTCCCCTTATCCTTGAGGGTTTTCTCGGCCTGCTTCAACATACCACGAAGCTCGGTGAGGGTTTTCTCCATGCCGTGCATATTATAGTTCATCTTGAACTAATCATAGCCTTTGTGCAGCGAATGGAGAATGATGTCAATTGCCATCTCCGTTGAATACCCAGCATCAAGCCTTTCCATGTTCTCAAACAATCCAATCATTTTAAGAACATGCGGGCTGACTGGCTCTCCTTTCTTCAGCTTGCTCTCAAGGATCTGCCTGTGGGTTTCGAACCTTTTAGTTCGGGCTTGCTCTTGGAACATGTTCTGAAGTTCAGAAATGATCTCAAATGCTATCTCCTTCTTAAAGAAAGTCTTTTGAAGGTCCGGAGACATAGTGGCCAGCATGATGCACTTGACATCCCGATTGACACTTTGCCATCGGTTAAGGGCAGCCTGAGAGACCTCCTCATTGGGAGTGTCGGGCATTTCCTCATCAAGGACGTATTCCTTTTTCTCTTGCATGAGAAAAATACGCAAGCTCCCTTGCCAATTAAGAAAATTTGGCCCACTCAACTTTTCCTTGTCGAGAATTGAGCGTAATGAAAACTGGTTGTTTGAGTTATTTGCAAACATATTTCTACAATTGAAAGAATTTGAAATGAAAAACCATTCATAAACCAATAAGTTTGAAACTTAAAGCATACATGCAAATTTTCAATCTTATTGAGCGTTTTATCCACGCATTAATATTAGTCCCTTTTAGGCAAGGATAAAACGATTCCTAGATCCCAAAAATAAAAAAGTGATTAAGCATGCTTTGGATTGTCTTAACACTTAATATTTTAGGGTAAGAAATGCAATTGCTAATAGCTCCAAGCTATTCTTGGTTCGATAAAACGTCGCATCTAATGCTTTCATGACATTTTATCTCCATTGCCACGACATCTAAGGACTCCTTACTGATATCGTTGAGCTTAACTAAGACCAATTTGTATACCTAGTATACTTTACGTTCCTAGGGAAGTAGTGATGCCTCGCTTTGGCGTAGCCCATCACTACGCGCATTAGTTCGGTAAGTGTTGTTCTTGGAATGAAAAATTTGGCTCAATATTATAGGGACCTAGGGTTTCTATGTTGGTTGATTTAAGTGAACTTAATTAATCATCGCAATATTTGAAATCCTAAACATGCATCTATCATACCATTCAATCATATATAAACATAATTATATATATATATAGAAAAAAAGTAAAAGTTGCATTTGGCAACTAGCATGGCCCCTTGAGTCTTCAAATCTTCAAGGGTCTTCGATGCATCCTCTTGACTCGTCTTCTTAGAAACTCCGTCTTTGAGACATCTCCGCCAAATATGCAATTACTAGTTACTACGACTAGGATTAATCTAAATATTAAGGTACAAAAATAAGCAACGGTACGCAGACCCACTAGTAGAAAAAATGAAATAGGCACCGCAAAATGCGCACCGGTTTTTAAAAACCAGTGCGAAAAAAATAGGCGGAAATGAGGGCGAGACTGTTCGAACCGGTGCGAAAGCTATTGTAAAAAATAAAAAAACAAACCCGGCCATTTTTATCTTCTTTCTTTAATTTCTTTTTCTGTCTTCTTTCTGAATTTCTCTTTCCTCGATCTCTCCTCCTCTCTCATCTGCCTCTCTCTCCTCAAACAAACCCTAATCAACAAAGAAAACGGGAAGTAGACGAAGATGAAGACCTAGATTGAACATCGTTCTTAGCCTAAATTCGGTGATGCTGTTCATGAAGAATTCGGCACTCGTCAAACTATGGTTTCTATTAAAGAAATCGGCCTTGAACGACTTACTGCTCCTAGTTTGCTTCGATTTCGCTTCCTTGTGGTTTGGATTTTGTTTTTTTTGTTGTTCTTAATTTTGATCTTCGTTGCGATTGATGAATTGTTGGTTGATTTTGTTGTTGTTGTTTTAGGGTTGTCGAATCTGGCTGTGTTATTCATGTGTTATTGGATTGATTTTTAATGGATTTACTCGTGAATTTGTTCTATGTTTGAGTGATTTTTGCCAATTTAGGTTAATTGGAAGAAATTAAGGGTTTCCTGATTTCTCGAGGCTGTTTGTGGAATTTTGGGGGAATTAGAGATAGATAGGGGTTGCGGTGGTGGTTTCGTGGGTGCGGTGGTGGGTGTGGTGGTTGCGGTGGTGGTTTCGTGGTTGCTTGGTTGTCAGTTTTATTTGTGGTTTGAATCAAATGAATTCTGATGTTTGATGTTCTGGTGAGTTGCTTACATTTTATACTTAACCTAATGAATGTAGAAAGACTAATTTTTAAATTTAGGCTTTTATACAATGTCTTCTCTTTGTATATTGTTAGTGTATGAATGAAAATATGTCATTATAATTGGAATTCAGAGCTATGGACCTTGCGATTGCACAAGTATCTCTGATTTAATACTCTTTCATTGGTTACTTATACTAATAGCTCATAATTTTTTTGAATATTTCCTTTTTTTTAAAATAATACTTGGAAGTTGTTTTTTACAACTATGTGGCTAGGAGACATGGACTCAATATTTCTGAAGCTTTTACTATGTAAGTTTGTATGTTCCTTGGGTGAGTTGGGTCATAGTTTTAAAATAAGTGCATTTGTTCATGGAGAAAGGATTTATTTTGGTAAGTATTATATTATTCTTCTATGAATTTTTTTTCTTTCCATTTTTTAAAAATTTCAAGATTATTGTTTATTTTAATCTGTGGTTAGGTACTTGATGCCTCGTGCTTGTATAATTCTCTGCTTATCCAAGGGAATGTGTAGCTTTTTGTAATTTCATTTCTTAATTTTCCAATTTCAAATTTCTAGAAGTATACAATTTTTAAAACTCTGTAATTATTTACAATATTTTGCATGACAAGATTGATTCAACAAATCAGCAATACATGATTCTTGTGTTCAGAATTAATTTTTCTGACAAACTCATTATATTGTTCCTATTGTGCTCCCCCCCCCCCCTTTTTCTTACTGTGTACTGCTGTCACATTCTTGGGACACTAGCTTTTTTCTTTGATTTTGTTAGTGACAAATAATCTTTTGCAGCTGGCCTTTGTGTGATTGTCTTATTGCTTTCTACTCGGCTGGCGATCCTCTTGAAAAAGTTGAGGCATATGCAGCTTTAAGGAAGTAAGTTATAAATTTTCCATAATTCTTTAGGACTCCCTCCAATCAAATTTCCATGAATTCATTTTCTTAATTGCTTTTTGTTAATTAGGATCTATCTATTTATTTACTTATATATTCATATATGTCGTTGGAACTTTGGATGGCTTATGATTAGGACATAGGGAATGATAATGATTATTAATGAATATGAGGTGAAACTTGCATGGATTGTCTGATATGGATGTGTGTGTTTTTCCACTACCAATCATGACTAACAATTTATTGAAGAAAATCACTTGTTTAAAAGTAGACATGCACTAATTTGACAACCATGTGAGCCTTCCATGCCAATCAACACAAATTGCTTTAGGATTTCCCCAATTTTATTACCTCATAGCATTTCCTTGTATCAGTATGGGATGGGTACAGTAGTTGCATTATAATGCGGTAAGAGCATGTATGAAATATGCTTGCTAAATAACATGCCTACTTCAGCTCAGGCTTCTTTCATGCACTCAAATGTTTTAGGCCCTATCTAATTAATGAACTAGAGCCACAATACCTGCTGCACGACAAAAGGAAGGTGTATGATGCATGAATTACTGTTTTAACAACGCAAAAGAAATAGGATGATACAATTCACAACGCAAAAGGAGTTGCTGCTAGGATATTCTTAAAAAGGATAATACTAAGCATGTGATATACTGAAGAAACTTTTGTCATGCATCAAAACTTGCCTTCTGCAGTGTTATGACAAATTTCTAATGAAGAGTCTTCAGAAGGCAGCTGAAGTGGTGGGAGTTGTGTCTTGGGGCAGAGCACCTAATAATTCAGGTTCTTATAATTCTTGGCCACACAAGACAGGTTTTTTTCGTGATGGTGGTGAGTATATCAGGTTTTATCGTAGATTTTTCCTTAATTGGTATTCTAAGGTTCTGATTGATCATGTAGATCGTGTACTTGCCATGGCCAACCTAGCTGTTGAAGACTTCCTTATTGCTGCAAAGGTGAGGAAGCAATGTTTTAGGCCCTGCTTTATGGGCATTTGTGATTTCAATGTGCTATCTACAGTTTCTTTTATTACTCAAGTCAAGACTTTTGTTTGGTGTGCAGCTGTTTGGTATTTATTGGTGGTTCAAGACAGCCAGTCATGCTGCTGAGCAGAGTGCTAGGTACTACGTTTTATCCCATCGTGATGGCTATGCTTCGATTGCAGCAATGTTGAAGCAACATGAAGCTGCTCTCAACTTTACATGTGTGTAACTATGCACAGTGGACCAGCATGAGTCTTATCCAGAAGCACTAGCAGACCCTGAGGCATGTTTTATTTCAGGTCTTAAATGCTGCAAAGGATGTGTGCATACCAGTTGCCAGTGAGTGACCTTGTAGACTTCTACTTTGTGTGTGACCTTGTATTTTATTTTATTTTATTTTTTTGGACAAAAATTGTAATATTACAACTTTTTTTAATGAAAATATGTAACTTTATATATAAGTTAGTGTTTCTATATCAATTAAAATGAAAAAACTGCAAAAAAAAGTTTTATTTTTCATTTTTTAAGGGCATTTTTGGCACCGGTTTTGAAAGAGAACCGGTGCTAAAAGTTTTTTTTTTTTATATTTTCGGGCTATTTTTCGCATCGGTTCACAGCAAGAACCGGTACGAAATCTAAGTTTTCACACCGATTTTGAACCGGTACGAAATCTTTTGGTTTTTGGCATCCCTCAAATTAGGACCGGTTCAAAACCGGTGCTAAATGGGGGTTTTGAACTGGTGCCCATTTGTATTTTTTTCCTAGTGACCGTATTTAGATTTACAAAAAGACATTACGGATTGCAGTCCGAATTTACTATCCTAATCGGGCCCCACTAGTTGCCATTTTCACAAAACCTGTAAAACAATATACATTCCATTCATCTATTCACTATTTGTGAATGACCCATGCATTTTATAACGAAAAACAAGTAACAATGCATAACACGCGCAAACTAGTAACTAACTTAGGTGGTTAATCCGATTAACGCGCCTAATTAAAACTAGTCAAAGTTGTTTAACATTTTATGTGATTAAGATGCAATTAGTTTAAGTAATCAACGAAGCTCCCACTAAATTCCGCATCCAACTTAATTAATCCAATTAATCAAGTCGGTAACCCATATTTTGCAAGTGCCGGAGGAACCGAGGCCTAGCCTCGTTAAAATAATTAAATAAAATAATTAAAATCGGACGAACTATCGCAAAAATTAGCCCACCAAATGCCCAAGTGCCTAGCATCCAAGCCATGGGGCTAGGCTTGCTAGGCACCAAGGCCATGGTTGTGCGTGCTGGCATGCCTGCCTAGCAGAGCACGCTACGCTTGTTGGCACCAGCAGCATCACAGCATGCTTGCATGCATGCTAGCGCTGGCACCGTGTGGCTGGGCTTGCTGGGGCTCGCATGCCTTGCTGCCCAGCAGCACTTGGGGGGCACCTTCCAGCAGCCACACAGCACACGCATCAAGCACACACATAGTGTGCACCCAGCCCGCCACACAGCAGCAGCATCTCGAGGCGTGAGCACCTCCATGCGCATCTAGGCAGCCACATGTGGGCTACGTGAGCAGCCCGGCTTGCCGTAGGTGGCGCATGGGCGATTTTGCCTCAATTTGTGTGCTTTTATCTCGGGATTTTAATCCCGATATATGTGTGACATACAATTGAATCTAAATTAATTTTAGAATCAACATTGAGCAAGAATGAAAATATAACAAGTCTAACTTAAATAAATTCAATTTTAGTGCACAAATCAAGATTAATTCAAGAACCTTTCTTTAAATTAATTTAAATTAATCTTGATGCTACAAAATTGAAGGGCTATACTCATAATTAATTTAACCATTCTAAATTAATAATGAGATTTGACAAAATTAAAGAGGTTGGAAAAACAAACCCATTCATCTAATGAAAAATTTCCAACATTAACTTGTGTAACATTGAAAAATTACATCTTCCAATATGAAAATTATATTTCAATCACAAGTTGTGAACTTTTAGGACTTTAATCAACCAAAATGACTAAATTCAAAAATTAGTTCAACATGGAATTTAGCAAGCAAAGTTCCAACCAAATAAACAATTAAAGATTGGATTTTTGATATTTTAAGGGACTTCAAAATTACAAATTCACCATAAACATTGACACTTGAAGCAATTTATTTGCAAAAATGTGAAATTTCAAGTTTATGTGAAAAATGAACTCACCAAATTAAGCACCAATTATGACTCATAAACATGCTTAATAAGGTTTATAATTACAGTAGATTAGTGATGCAACCATACATATAATCTACTTTTAACATCCCATAATTAATCAAGGTTTAAAGATTTAAAATTTTTCGTCAAAAACGAAAAACCCCTCGAAAAACATGTTTCTGGGTGGATTTTGGCTTATGGACAGTGGTCAAAAACGATTTAGAACATCGATTCTACCCAAAAATCACTATTTTTGAGTCGAAATCTGGGTTTGTTGGCCAAAATTATTATAAATACGAGATTAAAACTAATTAAAACAATCTTCTAATCTAATTAGAGAGCAAAACCAGAATTTAAATCCATTTTAAATCACCTCAATTGATTATTAGTTACAATAATTAAAATGAGCACGACTCCGATACTGCTGTTGGGTTTCATAGTGTCCGACACTACACGGAAGAGAAATCAGCCCAAGACCCACCCACTAATTAAAGCAACTAAACATGCAATCACATAATTAACAACATAAGAGAGAAGAGAAAAGACAATCTTATCCTGGACCCGTGCTTCGCTCGTTTCACGAGCTCTTACTTGAAAGCTTAACCTCGCAAGTGCGAAGGCCTCCTACGGCTAGCACCCTCGACCCGACCCGAGCGGTCTTAATCCCGAAGGTTAGTTGGGACTTGACCAAAATAAAACTAGAGTATTACGAACTTAAAGGTTTTCTCACTAATGATGAGATGCCTTATTGAGTTCAACTCAAGTGATTTAACCCAAAACTTGGGTATTTATAGGGAAATGAGACTTGATCTCCTTTCTCCTATCAATGTGGGAGATATGATTTTTTCCTCAATTTTATTTTAATAAAAAAACAAAATAAAATGCAAGGCAATCAACAAGCTCCAAGTGTCACATGGAGGGAGAAGGTTGGTGAGGACCACCAAAGGGGGGGAGCAAAACACCTTGCTCCCCAAGCCAAGCACCAAGCAAATGGTTCCCTCCCTTAACCGGGTTGACCACGCCACTTGGCTGGTTGGCAGCCTGCCTTGGCTGCTAAGGCTGCCAAATGGCGCCTCGCGCCAAGGCTGGGCAGCCCAGCCAGCCAGCACACAGCCAGCGATGCTGCGATGCTGCTTCTTGGTGCTGCTACACTAGCACGCACAGCCCAGCCAGCTTGCACCCGCATGCGCACAGCAAGCAGGCCACGCATGCGGGCTATTGTTGTTGTACTAGCAAGCACGTATAACCACAGCGCATGCATGCTGCCTGCGATGCTTGTGGTGGCAAGGCCCAGCAAGCACTTGCGTGCTGCTGACCTTGTGATGCTTGCGGCAGGGCTACTATGTGCGACGCCCTAGCATGCTAGCACACCTAGCGCACCAGCGATACTGGCCATGCCACACTAGCTGGCTAGCATGCGATGCTAGCATGCATGTGCTGTTAGCAAGCTCGGCATGGTGCGTGGTCTGGGCTAGCCTAGCACTTGCATGGCTAGGCCAATGAGAGGCTACATCTTAGCTCGAACTAATCGCTTGTTTGATTTCTCGTCTCGTCAAATTCTAAAATCAACTCGACTTGCGACGCTCGATTTTGACGCTCTAAGCTCAACATCCACGTCTTTGTTCGTAATACTCTAATGACTCATCTAATCCTTCGGATTGATTCGTCATCTCGGATCGGTTATTTGATTGGGGTGCGACCCGAAGGGTTCAGTCAAGATTAAGCCGTAATATTAATTATGCATTAATATTACTGATTAGAAGCGGCCTCCACCTAGGCATTCCGATCACTTGACCTCATTGAAGAATTAGGTTTCTAATAATTCTGAACCCTCTGTCGGAATAATACACTTATTGAAAGGACAACATTCCTTTCAAAAATATGCGCTAGAAAGTATTAGAAGTAATACGGAGTATATATGTTCTCTAAAATTTTCAAACATAAAAAATTGTGAATATGGTATAGTTTATGTTAGATATAGTGTTATTGTAAATTAGTATAGTCTTTATTTAGTTAAAGTTTTGTTTGTGTAAAGTGAAGTTATGTCCAAATTTATGCTAGGATTAGGAGTCCGCTCACGGTGAATGGCTGAGGCGCACCGCTAATTACAAACCATAATCTCTTCTTTTTATTCTTTTTTTTTTTGAACAAACCACAATCCTTAAAATCATATGCAATGGAGATTTAGAATTTATTGATTTTTTTAATGTTAAATTACAATTGTACCCTAGAATTACCCTTAAAACTAGTATTTAATCAAGGAATTGAAACAAATCAATTTCTCTACAAAAGAGATCAAGCTCATCCTACGCTGATACAAAATTTCTTCATTAAGGTGGGCTAACATTAATTTTTTGTAAAATCGGCCAATTTTCGATTTTTATGGTTGAAAATTCATTATAATGAAAATTTTAATAAAAGTTGTGCTAATTTCTGTTTAAGTTATATCAATTTTTCATAAATTTATGGTTGAAAGTTTCATCATATTGAAGATATTTATAAAAATTTCTACCAATTTATGTTAATGTTATAGAAAATTCTGTTATAATTATGGTTGTTAAGTTTTAAGTTATGGCAAAATAAAAATTCCCTATCATCGGTAACATAAAAGTTACCCTATTCGTGACACTTTTATCTTCTTTTTAGTAACCAAGGGTGGAAAATAAAGCTCGTTTTATAATTATTTAATGTAAGTCGTCCGTTGTATGCAAGATGAATTGGTCCTGATCTTGGATCTTTATTTTAAGGATAAGACTTGGTATAGCGCTAGTCAAAAGGAGATTGCATTCTAAGTTCCAGGAGATTGTAGATTCATGTGAGTACCAGCCAACATTAAAAAAGCCAAATTGGCATCGATGCCTTGAATAATAGCTTGGGTAGGTACACCCATTACTCGCAACTTTGACTAACAGTCGAAACACAACTAACTATTCATTGAGGCGCACCGCATGATGCACGCATGTGATTAACGAAACAACCAACTACATTGTCTTTTTATTTTATTTTATTAACCCTTCATTAGCCTTTAACTAACCTAGATAATAACCCTAGATTAACCTTATTTAACCCATATTCAATCCATGACATGCAAATCTAGGGTTTTTAATTGGCATGCAAACTCATGTTTATGATATTTTTTGCCAATTTTGTTCTCAAAAATGACCCTTACAAACGTAAATGAAATAAAAAAACCTTAATTGAGCAATTTACCCTGGTTGAAAACATAAGCACGCATATCGAGGTGTCTTTGGTA